CTGGGTTCCTCGGTTCCATGAGGAACCCGACTCTGGGTTCCTTGCGACGAGGAACCCAGATCGGGTTCCTCCCTCTGGGTTCGTGAACCCAGAGCAAAATTTTTTATTTTTTTTAATTTTTTATTTAAGTAAACCACATCATCAAAAAAACATCCACGTTGAATTACTAACGGCATAGGTTGGCCACGTCAATTTTTGAGTGCCACGTAATACATTTTGTAACGGTACCGTGACGTCGCGTTAAAATGTTGGGTTTTTTACTGGTTTTGAAAAGTTAAGGGTGTGAATAGGGAGGAAAAATTCTGGAAGGTGTTGACCATGAAAAACAATTAAGTGTAGGGTGCAAATAGGGGCTTTGGCCTTTAAATTAAGGGATTAAAAATGTGTGTATTTAGAAAATTTTAACAGAATAATTAACAAAATGACTAAAAAAAAATGAAGAATGGACTAAAACGGTATATAAAAAAACTAAATGATAAAAATTATATAAAATATTAAAATTGAGAACTAAAAATGAAATTTATGCTTTTTAAGTTTGAATTGATTTGAATGGTAGACGGCAACTGTACTAAAAAATGGAAGATTGACAAGAGACAGCTGGAAATTGCAGTGCTGGCCAAAATGACGTCGTTTTGGCCAGGAATTCTTTTTTTTTTTTTTTAAATTCTTGCATATTGTACCGGTTAAATTTCAGTATACCGGCCGGTATGCAGAAATTTCGGCCGATACATCAAAATTTGACCGAAATCATCGAATTTTGACCGAAATGAAATCCTTTCTTACTTCGTTTCGGTCTATTCCAAAAACCGATACATACCGGCTATACCAGCCGGTACGGTACGGTATATATATAATTCTTTGCCCTGGTCCCAACGTCACTGCTTGAGATAGAACCTATGCCTAATCCCCTTCTCATATAGTTCTGCCACTAGTGTAAGCCTTAAGGATTGTCAACTAGCTATTTAAGAAGCGTCCTATAAATATTTGTGTGATTATATATAATAATGCAATATCCAACCTTTTGATACATATGTAGATCTACAAATGGAGAATAGTGAATACAGTGAAAGTGAAGAATTCTGGTCGCTATGGTTGTTCAAGGATTACAGTAATACTGTCTAATTTAATCAATCCCATCCATATATCTTTGCTTTTCTAGAAAAACTATTGAGCTTGTATCTCTTCTTTCTTCCCATCCTTTCCTTTGTTCTCTTCCATTATCTTCTTCTTCTTCTTCTTCTTCTTCTACTTTAATATTTTTTAAATTTTTTACCTTTTTTATTTTGTCAATCTTTGAGTTTGCTAGTACATATTTTGGATATGTTTGTATAGCCAGTCACCGGTGGGAGCTACGGGAGTCCTGGGGTCCCAGGCCACGCCCTAAACTTTTGAAAACTAATTAATATGGTCCACCAGTTTTTATTTTTATTATTTTTATCTATGAAATTTTATTTATTTTCTACAATTCTAACCGATTCCTTTATCAATATTTTACTTCCCCCCCCCCCCCAAAAAAAAAAAAAAAAAAATTTCTAGCTCCGCCATTATAGCCAGTAGTAGATATTTTCTTAATCTTTGTCGCTCTTTTTCCCTCCACTATAAGTCTAACATTTTTCTCATTACCAGATACTGTTTTAGGTATTTTAAATTTG